TAGTTTTTTCTCATTGCAAATATGTATCACATTTGTTTACACCAATTGGTTGAAGTTGCTGATATATTCTTCTACTCCCACATTGCTAAAAAGGCCTGCATTTACTAATAAATGTCATCTGAATTGCTTACCTCCAAGCTGTGTCTTTATGATAGATGAAAAAATAGAAGTAATTGCTACTTTGATGATGTTATAATACCAAAAGACTGGGAGAGGATTTTGTTCTCTTAATTACTCTGATTATCTTACTAATCTTTGATTGAAGAGCATGTTTCAGAGGGATTCTTCTGCACGTAGAAAATAACTCCTTTTGTTGTATGGGTTGGGATGTTTGCAACATCCCAACATCAGCTAGCTGCCTTTTACATGATTTTTTGTCTTGTGGATTATGTACATTATTTGTGAATTTGAATAATTCAATAAATCAATAAATCAATAAAATTAATAAATCAATAAATATTTTATTTGTGAATAATATTTTATCTGTAGGCAGGGCTGTATTAGGTATGCTGTGGAGTATCTAATGTTCTCTCATTTCTACATACCAGTCTTGGCCAGAATGTTCTGAACTTGCCCTTTCTGTCATCTTTTGTTACCTGCCACCAAGGGGGTTACTGGGTGGTGAAGATAACTCCTATAGTACAAATACTGGTAGATAGTGGCCAGAGACAGTCATGTTTGTCTGCTCACTGGGGCAGGCTGCAGAAGTAGTGGCTGGTATTTTTTTATTGTTTTCATTTTCCTGATTATATGATTTAGGGATCTAACATCTTTGATTTGAGATCTTCTCTTAAATACATTAGGTGATTAATATTATCATCTGTGAATGTAATATACTAAATATTATAGTATAAAGTGGTACGCCCTGTGCCTGTATCCCTTGAGGTTTGGCTTGGTAATCAGAATGATGTTAGTTTTACTTCACTTTTTCTCAGAAGCTGGAAATCCTGTAACTGTCAGCTGTATGTCAGTCTAATGAGAAATGGAAAAGGAACATTGTTCCCACCAAGAAAAACCTCAAAAAACCTTTTCCAATTTATCTATCAAAATCACTGGTATTTATTTTTTTTCATTCTTTCCATTTTTTTTCCCTTTGATTATTTTAGGGAAAGTGAGTCAAATTAGTTTTCAGAAAATGCCTGATTTTACTGTCTAATATGGTAATTCCAAATGTTGATCCAATTATCTAGCTACTACAGTAGCTAGAAGCTTGTCTTCTGTATTTTCTGTATATATTTCTGTATATATGTTTCTATATATTCTGTATTTCAGGCAGGCAGTAGTAGTGCTGAGCATGATATTTCTCCATTACTTTTTACTCAGAGGTTTACGTCTTTAGCAGCTTAGACGTCTAGAAAAAAAAATCAATTATATTCCTAGTATCTGGTATTTCTTTTTAAACCACTTGCAATAGAGCTGTTAAAACGTAGTGGAAATTCATCAAAGACTGCTGAAAGACAGAAATTCTGTGCCTCACTTAAACATAATTCTTTTCATGTATTATTATGATTCCATCAGACAATGCATTTTTTCTTGATGTTTTTTAATTCTTTGGGTTCAAATAATGTTCTCTCTCCCCCCCCTCCACCTCCCAACAAACTGCTGGAAGTCTTACAGCTAACAGAAAAAACAGTGATACTTTACATTTTTATTTAAACAACAGTTTCTCCTGCATGTAGTGCAATGCATCTTGAATTTGGAAGGGATTTTGTGTGTGAATTGAGAGATAATAGTGTTTCTTGTACATATTACATATATTATTTTTAGAAATGAAAAATCTTGTAATGCACCAACTTCATATGCACCTTCCTCTCTCCACATACTTCAGTTCCTTTTCTGTTACTGTTTATTGTGACTGATCAAGGATATGATGAATGAGAGAAACAGTTTCAAATGATGTCAAGTCTTTCACAGAGTATCTGTACACAGATTGATAAGTGAATAGATAGATTTTATTTGAAAAAGAGAATTCTGATCAGCTACTTTTGAATAAAAACTAATATCAAATGCAACTGATTAAAACCACAATTTCAGAGTTTACTTTTCTTACAATCATAGAATCATAAAATCTTTAGGGTTGGAAGGGAACTTTAAAGGTCATTTGACCCACTCTCCTGCAATGAACAGGGACATCCACAACTACCACAGGTTGCCCGGGGCTTGGTCCAGCCTGGCCTTGAAAGTCTCCAGGAATGTGGCAGTAATCACTTCTGTGGGCAACCTGTTCCAGTGCCTTCCTACCTTCAGTGCAAAAGATGTTTTTCTTCCTACCTAACTTTCCCCTTTTTAGGCTTGAAATCCTTTCCCACTGTCCTGTCACAGCAGGCCCTGCTGAAAAGTCTGTCCCCTTCTTTCCTGTAGCTCCCCTTTAGATACTGATAAGCCACTATCAGGTCACCTTGGTGCCTTCCTTTCTCCAGGCTGAACAGATCCATCTCTTTCAGTCTGTCCTTATAGGAGAGGCACCCCAGGACTTCTTTGGCAGTGCTTTGCTCAGTCCTTTCATCCCCAGCTTCTTCTTCTTTTCATAATCTTCCATTATAGAGTGGCGTTGTGAAAATGCAGCGTATTGATGTTGACATTCAGATTACTTAATCTAGCCATATTTTTTAGCTGAATGTGAGATTTAACTGACTGTAAATTTAGACATGTTAGTTAAATATGGTTTTAAACTGATAACATTATTATTCTTCGAGTAGATTGTATATATTTGAAACTTAACCATTCATTTTAGAATTAGAAGTTTTTAAGAATTATCTTTAAATTGTAGTTCAACAGTATCCAGTCTATCATGTCAGATTCTTCTAAACTGTGCTTATTGAAGTGGTGGTAACTGACTTTTCAGCAGAAAAGCTGAAGTGTGCAGTTCAGCTGCAGTGTATTTCTGCTGTCTATATGTAGATGGAGGAGTTAATTTTTTTTTTCTGCCATATTTTGATGTAGGATTCTGAAGCTAACTTTGTGATAGCTCTAGTCTGAAGTTGCACATGGCTATTCTGCATGACAGTCTCTACATATTACTACACAGTACTAGTAGAGACTTTATTGGGACAGAGCTCTAATGTGTTTTGGTAGGAATATTTGGAATTGTGTGGAATGAGGCTGTGATGGTAGCATTGAATATGGGTACTGCGTACCTTACCTGATTATTCAGAAACTCACCCCATTCTAAATTCAAAATGGGGAGGAAACTTTCCAGCAGAGAATGTTGTACTTAATGAGCATAATGAATACGTACATAACGAACATAATATAAATTCAGAGATACTTCATGGAGCTAGGCATTTAATGAAAAAAAAAAAAGAATACATCATACTACAAGTGTACCAACGATAAAAGCACAGGATTACCTTTTGAAGAAAGAAAACAGAATTCTGTGCAATCCACAGTAGAAAATCTGCCTTAGCAGTGTGCTGGACTGGATGATATCCAGTGATCCCTTCCAACCCCCATGATTTTGTGACACACTTTTCTCACTTCTGAGACATAATCGTTTCAAAGAATGAAATAATAGATTATTTGTATCCTTAAGTTTAGAAACTTGGTCAAGAAGATAATTCTGTCTGGAGACTGGGCCTCATCTGATGTTAAATTTAAAAAAAATCACTTGTGCTAACTGAAATTTGGCAAGTCATTTTAAAATATTTTGTGTTTGCAGTAAACTCCCACTAAGTCATTACCATATTCTAGCTTTTGCCTTCAGGTTTTCATATTTTTTTCTTAGAATGAAAGGAAAGCAAACATGTTAACACACCTTGATTCTTTCTTTTCATTGTACTACTTACGCTTTTCAAGAAGAAGAAAGGTAGATTAGAAATAAGTAGAAAGAGCAGACAAAAGAATTTGCATTATTCTACAGAAAGCAAGCTAATAAACACTAGCAGTCCATCACAAGCATGTTTCAATTTTTATAAGAGTAAACACCTTGCATGTTTTTTTTTCACTCCTTTTAAATTAACTGTAGCAATCTGGAAAGCCAGACTATGTATTTAGCATTTTTTGTATATCACTGTTTACCTTAAAGAAAACATTATCTCAGTTTTGCCCATTAAGAGTCATTTATCTATAGTATTAAACTCTTTGAAAGTTTTTCCACTTAAGAATCTATTTTTTAGCCAATTTGCTTTCAATCTGGAAAATGCATGTACTGCAGGCATATTGATTTATTTATCACAGCCTCTTATAGTATTTTGAAGCTTTGAAAAAATAACTTCAGATATAAAATCATCTCTTAGCATTTACAGCATTTCTTTCAAAGAATCCCATTTTCACAATTGTTAAGTGTGAATTCAACTGGTGTAAAATATTCTACTGATAAGCAGGATTTGAAAGAAAACAATATGAAGATTATTGATCAGAGACCAAAGTGAAGTTGATGAGGGAAGTAGTGCATGACATTTTGAGGTGTACATTGCACAGAAGGCTAGATTACAGGTTAATAACATTCTGTTCTAGGCCTTAAAACATAAAATTTTGAAGTGTCTGCTCCCATTCTTGCCTGTTCCTTCCTCTTTGTGGGAAAACACAAACAAAACAGAAAGTTGGTGTGGTACTTCTGTGCATTTCTTAACTAACAAATTTCTCATTAGAAGAGATGTAGAAGTTGGAACCCTATAAATGCCTGCTAATACCTTTTGGGTGTGTGACTAGTATGTCACTTATTTTTAAGAAGAAAATAACAAATGATGCTGCTGAGGATTTGTGCAGCGTTTGGATTCAATATATTATGCTTAAAATTACAAAGCACAGTTAATAGAGACAGAAGTAAGGGTATGGCTTCTTTTTGTTCTTAGCTTTAGAACTTAGTCAAGTCTTAACTGGGCTGAAGTACCTCTGTAATATCCTGGAATATCACATTTTTTTCTGAGTTAACAACTTTAAATGTTCTTACCACTAGAAGAATTGGATTTCACATGTGGGATTTTTGTTTTTGATTTTGTTAACTACAAGCTGTGGCATATTATACAACTTGTCACTCAAGTTCCTCTGTTGTTTTGCAGTGCACCTGCAGGAAAGACATGGTCACAATTTCCATGGACGTTTTTGTGAGAAAGTTTCAGCCAGACAGATACCAGCTGTGGAAACAAGGCAAAGATTTATATACCATTGATCATACCAAGCCGACTCCTGAATCAACACCTGAAGTAAAGATGTGGCTACAGAGAAGAAAGAAAATAAGGAAACTTTCCGATAGGTATTTGTTTCTTTATTCTTCATTTGGTTGTTTTCAATATGTTGTCCATTTCCCTGTTTCTTTTGTATGTCTCTGACATTCTATTCTAGTTTGTTACATGCATAGCTGAAGTTAGTGAGCATAGAGAACGTCAAAATTCATTCTAGTCTGGAATTTAGAATCATTCTTTAATAAATATAATTCCAGAGAAAATTACAAAATTTCATTGTTTCTAGTGACTTCTGCATCCAAAAAACAAGGGAGAAGTGTCATCATCACAGGTGAGATAGGGATTAAATTGGAAAAACAAGGCATGGAGCTGTGGCAGAATCCCTGCAGCCATGTGATGTCTCTAGCAACAGTCTTAGCCCTCACTACAATCTGGTTCTAAGGAGATATCATTGCTTGTTTGGCAGACTCAGTGCAGCAGCCAAAACCTTTCTGTATCTACCTCAGGTCAGCGATAGATCATAACAACAGTCTAAATCCCAGTTATTTATGTTTGCACCACTAACAAAAATAGAGGAAAAAAATCTCAGCTGATACTAGAGGTACTAAATTTCAAATCCTGACCTATTAAAGCAGTTTTACAGCTGGTTTAGTTTTCTTGTTGCTCATCATGTCTTTGTTTACATAGTGCAGATACATTTTGTTTCTGCACTACTGCTTTCCTGTCCTGATTTTACTGAACATGATTTTTATGGATTTTCTTTTTCATTATCTAATAAAGATCATCTTAGCTTCTAGTGTAGAGTGGGCTGTTGTATTGATATCTATTTACGGTGAAGTTTTCTGCGTTAACGACGATACCTTTCCAAATTTCTATTTAACTTTGAATTTCATCATTTTCTTCATGAGTGCATGTCATTACTGAGGAAGATAATAGAAAAAACAACCCATTTCTTCATACAGAAGAAAACCAACTCCTGTTGTAGAGGAGAAACGTAGCTGAGGAATGTAACATTGGGTTTGTTCTCAGGTTGCTAAGAACAGTTTGTGAGATTATAATCAGGTATTAAAGACAGCTAACAAAGAAGATGAGCGACCAGTTTCTTATAAGGGTACCAACCCAAATAGAATGATTTTGTCCATTAGTTAATTCAGCACCCTTTTGCTCTGTGGTAAGCTTCAGTTATGTTGTGGCATAACTGCACCTGTACACTTGGATGCAGTTTTAACTATAAGCAAAGACTTTTTAAAAATCATATTGAAAGCATTATCACAGGAACACGTAATATCATTTCATGCACATTCCTATGTTGTTTAATTCTTGATTGGCTTTTGTTCAGCCATGTTAATAATGCATCTTACAAAGGGAGAATGAAGTACTTGTTCAGCTTCATTTCTACTCTAACATGTCAAATGAAATTTGTAATCATTTTGATTTTGGTAATTATGTTAGTTGCAACACAGGGAAAATTGAAATACCACGTATGAGGATTTTCATGAATGCACGTAAATAACATAACTTCAACATCTGAAGCTGAAATAGTTTGCTTCAACACAACTGCATAAAAACAGTTATAATACTGGTTGTATCATACTTTGACAAATGTTACAATTTGTCCGAGTGTCCACTTTAGATACTTGGAATTACAATTTTATAGAAATACTATTATTACTGTTAGTGTTTGAGAGGATGTTGGAAGGTATAGATTAGTGGATACTAGATAAAGGAAAAAGGTTAACAAAACTTTTTTTTTTCTTTTTTTTCCTGGAGATGTTTAGGGTCTCACATGCAAGACCATTGTAAAATCTCCTGGTTTTTTTCTGTAGTTGGGCATTTATTGCAAATGCAAATCATCAGTTTTACAGTCTAATATACGATCAGTCAGATACAGATCTTCTCTTTTGGTATCACAGAGTTGAATTTGAAACTGGACTTCAATCTCTCATTTATCCTGAGCGCATAAACTGCGAAACTGTTTCTGAAAGAGGCTCACAGCTCTTTTGTTCCAACTTTGCTCTTCAGCTTCTGAGAGTGCAAAAGCGTGTATGGAAGACTTCATTTCAAATTTGGTTTTTAAAGTCATTGTCAAATTTATTGTTTGATATAATAGACGTTCAGAATATTTGATGATCAGAATTTTTTGTTCATTCAGATGCTTGTTTGTATTAAAATGCGTATAAAACCTTCTGTGATATATGGGCAGTCCTGATTTTATAAGGCTACTTGATATAGTATTTTGCTAGCATTGGTATGGGAAGTAGCACCTGGTTTTAGCACATTTGAGAGAGTTTTGCTTTCATTACTTTCTTAATGGTTGATCTCTTTCAGGTTCAAAAGAATGGTTCATCAAAAAACTAATTTAGGTGCTGGTTAAGTGATAGTTATGTAAAATCATTTTACAGTTTAATAACTTCTGTCATAGAATGGTGAAAAAGATTAGAAGGTTAAATCAAATAGTTAATCTATCCATAAATTGTAAACACTATCTCAACACAAAAAGATGAAAAATTGTCAGGTTTTACCACTTTAAGCAGGTGAAAGGGACATATATATTGGTAGACATTTTATCTTATCCAAGACAGACTCCACTTTGACAGCAATATCTCTTATAGCAGCTTCCAGCACAACAGATCTCGATCTAAAAAGCTTAAAACTCCAGGGGACAAGAGACAATCTGCTATGGCAACTGGTGCAGAAATCAAAGAGACTGAAGCAACTACTGATGGCTTCAAGGTCAATGAAAAACCAGATGAAAAAGTGAGTCCGCTGAATACAGAAGTGCCTTCTGGAGAAGAAGAAAGCAGTAGCAGAATGCAGCTGGATCAACATTTATTGGATAATGTCAAGGTTGCAGGTGAGATAAGGACAGATGATTTTTCACGTGTAAGTTGTAGATTCTCTGATGCCATGGATTAGTTGATATTAAAGCATCGTACTGTCCTACACAGAATACTAACATAAGTACTTAGAAAGTTACACAGAGGGGGTTGATTCAGTAAAAGTGAATGATCAAATTACTGTTCAGAACTGAGAGTAGCATCACCTGTATAACTCCTGTAATAGCAATTGTACAGCAGAACATGGGATGACATAACACTGATGCAGACAGTGTTGAACATATATAGTTGCAATGCATTACATGTATTTTTATCAAGAATACTGCATGTTAAAAGTAGTCTTTGTGCAAAAAAAGCTCTATTTTCAGACTACAAGATTACTGTCACTTTCCCTTTAACAGTCTGATAATGCAAGTTATAAAGCTGTTGTGAAGTCAGAGGTGCTTTGTTCCCTACAGTGATTTCATACTGAGATCTACTGATATGTTTAATCTGTTCTTTCTCTTAATATTGAATTTCACTGTAGCTCAAGTATATACATTCCTGTTCCAAAATGCAAATCTTGAAATCTTACCTTTGAGGGCAGTCCTGTAATGTCAAATTTATACAAAAAATTGGTATACATGGACTGTTTTCCTGGTTTTAATTATTAATAGTTGTGTTACTTTTGTTAGAGGTGGTAAACACCAAGATTGAGCCCATGAAGATGCCACTTTGATTAATCCAATATGGAAGCTTTTTGTCGTGCTGTTCCTTTACAACTTCCCCCAACTTTAACAAAGGTTTGAAATGTTCCATGAACACTAAGAAACTAGTGATCAGTTATAGTGATTAGTTAGCTTCCTTCACGTGCTCATTGATAAGGGAAGGAAAAGCAGAGAAAAGTGGAGCACTATCTGTTTTTCCTTGTGCTGTTGAAAAGTGGTACCTACACCTTTGTAAAAGAAAGGACCATTTTAGATGTAACACTGGTAGCTCCAGGTGAAGGGATTTGCCCTGAGTTATCTCTGGCTAGTACATGCATTATGCTCTATCGGGGCAGTAGTCTTCATTTGCATAGATTCTGTTTTGTTATTGGATGGACTTTTATCAGTTTTCTAATTTGCTCTGTCGTTTTATCAGAAGAGCACACTGAAATAACCAATGTGAAGAAAAAGTGAAAAGGGGCTTTAGAGTCTTTTTTCTTTATTACCTTGGAAGTGCTGCTGAAAAGTACACTGCGGTGTGTGGCATAGAGTTCTTTGAGAACATATTTTTTGGGTCCCCTCTCCAGCCTCCTGTTCTGTCTGAAAACATCCCAGAAAACATGGAAATCCATGGAAGCACCCACAGATAAAGAATTTCAACAAAGTAAATCCACACAAATTTCACCCTTCTGCACTGAAGGGTGAAATTTCACTGAAATATGAAATTACAGTAATTGCTGAACTATAAATTTATGCTAATTGCTTTTCATTTTTAGACTAGTGCTGTCGCTTTCAAAAATATTCTTGGTATCTATTTGGAATATATTTTCCTAATTATAAACCATTAGTCTTTGTTTATTTTCATTTGTAAAACTGGCATAACACATAAATGCAGATCATAAAGGTCAATATACCAACCTTCCATATTGTGCTTTTTTCAGCCAGTAAAAGTGCTTGCAAGCTGTCAGAGTAAACAAGCTACATGAATATTGATTATTTTGAATCACTTAAAACTGTTGCAATTCAAACACAAAATGCCCATAAGAAGATTAAAGCTATATTTCACACTCCAAACTCAAAATTTTACATTTAATTTATTCTGTGATCAAACCTATATTCCACTTTTATGTATGTCCTTCTACTACATTATTTGTTTTGTATGATTTCTAAATGGGGAACTGTATTCTTTATTTGAATAATTCAGATTGTTTTGAAGTGAAATGCAGTAATATAATGTGAGATTTATTAAGAAGCCGTATTTTTGATCCACAGGAAGCATCCTTTCAGATTCATTTTCCTGTCCTGTTCCTTTACGAATGGAACCAAAAGCTGGTGAGGACAAGGAGGATTCCAGTGACTCTCTCGTTGCATTTGAAGATTCAGGGGCCTGTGTGCCCACTTCAAATAGCTGTAAGAAAGAAGAGAGTTTGAAAACTCAGTATAAGTCTAAATCATCCATACCATACCTGAAGTGCCAGGAACATAATTCTGAGGCAGAAAGCCCAGCTAAAAAGGTGAATGTCTCTACAGAGGATGATGTCAGTGACCTAGAAAGTGGAAGTAGCTTGAGTCGTGGTGAACTGCCAGTTGCAAAAAGGAATGAAGATGATGACATGGAAACATCCAATGTATGTGAAGCAAATTTTCATCACTATATTAATATATTCCTGATTCAATACATAACCAAAACTGTTCCTAATGAGAATTGATATCTATAGTAAGGCAGTTAAGAATATACATGATTTTAATCAAATGTTAATTTCAGCATCTTCTGAAGTGTTCAGACAAGAGTGAGAATTGAGAGGTAGGATTTTTTGGATCTTACTTGTTGATGTGTTTTCCCTCTGATTTTAGATTTTCACTTTGTGTCTGTGAATCTGATCTGTCAATGCCTACTCATAAGGTGTTCTATGATCACTGTCTGCCAGTGCTAACAAGGTAGCGAGCTTTAATTGACCAGCAGTGTGTTGAACCAGAAATACAAATTATTATGTATCACAGAATGGTAGATGTTGGAGGGGACCTCTGGAGGTCACCAGTCTAACTGTCTTGCTCAATCAAGTTCACCCAGAGCACGGTGCCCAGGACCGTGCCAGGTGGCATTTGAAAATCTCCTTGGAGGGAGACTCCACAGTCACTAGGCAACCTGTGCTGCTGCTCCATCATCTGCATAGTAAAGAAGTGATTCCTGGTGTTTAGACAGTACTTCTTGTGTTCAACTTTGTGCCCACTGCTTCTTGTCCTGGCATGGGCACCACCGAAAAGAGTCTATCCCCCACTCTCTTCAGGTATTCATACACATTGGTAAGATCTTTCTCTTCTCCATCCTGACGTCCCAGCTCTCTCAGCCTCTCCTCACAGTAGAGTTGCTCTGGTCTGTTGTTCATCTTTGCAACCCTTTTGATGACTGGACCCTCTCCTTGTCTTACTTGAACTGGGGACCCCAGAATTGGACACAGTACTCCAGATGTGACCTCACCAATGCTGAGGGTTAGTTCTCTTGACCTTACAGTGATGCTTGATCTGATACAGCCAAGAATGCCATTATTTTTCATACCTGCAAGAGCACATTGCTCAACTTGGTGTCCCTGAGGACCTGCCATGCTCCTTTCCAGCTGGGTGAACCCCAGCATGTCCTGGTGCTTGAGACTGTCCCTCTCACTTGCAGGACACTGCATTTCTTCTTGCTGAACTTCATAATATTTTTGTCAGCCCAACTCTCTAGACTTTCGGGATCTATCTGTGTGCCTGTCGAGTCAATCACTCCTCACAGTTTTGTGTTATCCACAATTAGAAATGAATACTGTATTTATTATCACACATTTATATTTTAAAAAATGTTTTTTTTTTTTTTTTTTCCCATTATTATGCTAAGAATCCAGAAGAAGGCAAAGGATCTAGTAGAAGGGCTAGAATTAATGTCCAGTGAGGAAAGGCTGAGTACAGTCGGGTTACCCAGTCAAGGAGACCAAGAGTCAATACAGCTCCCTGAGGAGGGGAAGCAGTGGAAGCTGCTGGGTTCTGCTCTTCACAGCTTACGGTGGGCAGGAATGGCACAAAGCTGCCATAGAAGGTTCATATTTCACATTAGGAAGCATTTCTATACCATGATGATGATCAGATACTGGAACAGGCTTCCTAGGGATGATTAGTAGCCCATCCCTGTCAGTGTTTCAGGAGGCATTTGGACAGTGTTCTAATTTTGCTTTAGCTTTCAGTTAGTCCTGAAGTGGCCAGGCAGTTGGAATAGATAGTGTTCGAAAGCTCCTTTGAGCTGAATTTAACTCTTCTGTTCTAATGCACTGTTGTTCTTCTGTGGAAGGGTGAAGAGCATTTATTTTAGGAAGCATAATGAAAAATACAAAGCTGTAGTGCTGGTCACAATAGTTTTATTAGTTTGGCAGTTTCCCTGTTTGGCGACGATGGAGCCGGTGATCTACTGCCAGATTGCTGGTGTTAATGGGAAACTGGGAGGTAAAATTAAAATCACTCCAAGCATTTTACAGTCAGGAAATGTGCTCTAATGATTTTTTATTGGCTTTGTTAGCTTTAATAAGCATCCTCTATTGGAGATTATATTTATCTCTTTCTATGTTTTCAGCCATTTGTATGTTACATATAACATAAGAGATTTCAAATATTCCCCAGTAAAATTGCTTACTCTTTAATGTGTTTTTCTTGTAAGTTCTTACTTAAAACTTACAAGTATGCTGCATAGATGCAATTAAAAAAGCAGATCTTTTCCTTTATAATTTGCTGGTAACTTCTTCCAGATCATCAAGCTGTCCACTGCTTTAACGTCATTTTTTCTCTGCTAATCATAGTAAACATTCTTTGTAATCGACTATACAATTGATATGTAATATTTAATTCTCAAAGCAATGAAGGCATAGATATGAAACCTGCTGGGTTACATTCTTAGTGTTGAGCAGCAAAACAGTGTGGCCCATAGGACTTGTGTGAGATTATCCTCAACCTGTTGCCAGTATGATTGTGCTTCCTCTATTGAGCAAACTAGCAAGTGGTTTACTTTGTGATTTCTCCCACTGTCACCCAAATCTGGAGTTGGGAAAGATGCACTTCTAGAGATTGCAACTTTGCTGTTAGTTCTTGAAGCATGGTTAATTTCAAGTTGAAAGTCTGTAGGGTCATATAAGGGAGGAAGGAATTTCCATGTAAATCCTGTCAGGATGCTTAATTTTTTTTTTGTCTCAACTCCAAATCCTTTCCTCATTTTCAGAGCCACAGTTAACGCATGCATTGTATTTCTGATTCTGCAGTTATTGGGCTGTTCTTCCTCTCAAACATTACCTGCGCAAAGGAGGACTTATAAGTGTGGAAAAGGCTATTGTAACTTCAAATAATTTGTCTTTGAAAAAGGTTGCTTTTTCTTAATTTGAGTTTTATTCTGCATTGCGGACATTTTATTGTGACTTTAAAGGTGCTTTGAGTACCCTTATATTACTTAGAAGTTGATATCTGTGCACATTTATAGAAGACTGGTTGATCAAAATTAATTGTAGAATTCTGTGCTAAATTAGCTGTGCTTTTACCTTTCAGTCATCAGAAGCTGAAGGAAAGAAAGTATCTAAGAGCTGGCGTCATCCACTAAATAAACCCCCAGCTAGATCTCCAATGACTTTGGTTAAACAGCAAGCAACTAGTGATGAAGGTGAGTGTACTGCTTAGTAAATTTTTTAATAGTCCTTTTTTGTCCTTAGACCATATATGGTCATTTTCACAAGCAACAAAATTTTCTTTCTGTATGGGAGATACTAACATTGTAGGGTGATTGCACGAAAACCATTCAGTGTGGTCTCTGAATACACTTCTCTATTTTTACTCTTCAAGTTCTTCTAAAAACTTTGGATCTATTGTTGACAAATCCTCTTAATAGAAGTCACGTAGGATTCTGTGTTCACCAGTCAAGTCTTCCTTGTTTCTCAGAGCAGCTGAGTTTGTGAGCAACCTGGAGCAGATCCAGAGAAGAGCAATAAGGCTTGTGAAGGGCTTGGAGAATGTGCCTTATGAGGAGAGACGGAAGGATCTGGAGCTGTTTAGTCTGAGGAATAGGAGGCTGAGGGGAGACCTTATTGTTCTTTTCAAATACCTGAAAGGTGATTGCAATGAGAGTGGGGTTGGTTTCTTCTCTCTGATGACAGGTGACAGGACAAGAGGAGATGGCCTCAAGTTGTGCCAGGGAAGGTTTAGGTTGGATATCAGGAAGAACTTCTTTACCGAAATGGTTGTTAAGCGCTGGAATAGGCTCCTCGGGGAGGTGGTTGAGTCACCATCCCTGCATGTGTTCAGAAACCGTTTGGATGTGGTGCTCAGGAACATGACTTAATGGAGGGATGATAGGGTATCATGAACATAGGAAGAACATAGTTCTGTTTCTAGATATATTGAAAGTAATCTTTGAAAACTAGAAGCAGCAAAAGGTCTCCTCGCCATTTCCCCAGGTGAACAGTTCTCTAGAAATTTTATTACATCAGTTTTCTGTTCACTTTGAAGACTTGGAAAGCAACTAAAAGTAGAGTAAGTAACCTGCATGTGAATGTATAAGACAGAGGATCTGATTCAGCATTTAGGTACTTACAGTCTTTATTTTCTTATTTTTAATATTGACTAGTTTCCACTGTTTAACTCAAATGCATAAAGAAGAAGCTTAATATTAGTTAATAATTCTGTATATGCTTGCTTGTTTCTTAACTATAAATTGCTGGTATGGATGTTAGTATGCATTATATTGTACCTTAATTATGTATTATTTGGTACCTTAAGGCATATCAAAGGGTATAATGAAGTAGGAATTAACAAAAAGAAGCACGTGCGTAAATAATTACAGTAAACTACACTGATATATTGAACATGTTTCTGTACTCAATAAATGCTAAATAATTCTCCAGCCATTAAATTTAGTGTTCTGTGATTAGATACTGTGGTGATCCAAAAAGTTAAAAAAAAAAAATACTCAGAATTTGTCAGATATTCTTTATTTGGAACCTTACTTGAGTGCTTTAATTTTAGAGATTCTCAATCTTGTGAACAAGCTACGAAAACTAAAGTGTTTACCCACAATAATGATCTCCTTCTCCGAAATAAATAGAAGAAATTCTGCCTTACCCAGTAATCACAAGTACATCCAGACAGAGCTAGTAAAGAAAGTTACTTCATTCTGTCAGATATGACTTGCGAAGTTTATTGAACTATGCATCAAAGATATCAATCAAAGTGGAAAACAGATACATTGTTTTTATTACCTCGGTGTTGTAGTTCTGTGATTTACAGTTTTTTTCTGGACTTGTTCTTCAGAATCCTTTCCAGTTAGCACCAGCAAGTCCAACCCATGGCCTGTGGGCTGCTTGTGGACCAGCATGGCCCAAAATCTTGTCCACCCTCTCCCTGTCATTTAAAGCTGGCAGTTCTTCCCAGCAGTGGCCCCAGACATGTGCCCGTTGCTCAGCAGCACTGAAGCAATCACAGCTCTATTGGCACTATGTTGTCAGAAAGCAGCGCACAGGGAGGACAGTGCTGTGCAGGGCTGACTCGGGTGATGGCCAAAAAGCTGTATGCATTCTGATACACTGGATAAACACAGGGCCCTGAACAGTGAAGAATATGCAGCAGTGCTTTCCATTTTGATGAAGGAATTTGACAATAGAATCATGGAATTGTGGGATCATTAGAGTTGGAGTGGAGCTTTAAAGATCATCTAGTTCAACTCCGCTGCAGTGAACAGGGACATCCACAGCTAGATCAGGTTGTTCAAAGAAACAATCCAGCCTGGAGTTGAATGTCTCCAGCAACAGGGCTTCCACAACATCTCCGGGCAACCTGCTCAGTGCCTCACCACCCTCACTGTAAAAGACTTTTTCCTTATATCCAACCTGAATCCCCTGTCTTTAAATTTGAAGCCACTTCCCCTTTCCTCACAACAGACCCTCCTGAAGTGTCCCCTTCTTCCTTATAGCCCCTCTTTAGATACTGAAGGACCACTCTCAGGTCACTTCAGAGCCTTCTCTTCTCCAGGCTGAACAGCTCCAGCTCTTTCAACCTGTCCTTGTAGAAGAGGCGTTCCATCCCTTGGACCATCTTTGTCACCCTCCTCTGGACATGTTCCAACAGGTCCATGTCTCTCCTGTGCTGATGACTCCACACCTGGATGCAGATCTCTAGGTGTGATCTCATCAGCGCACAGTAAAGGAGCAGGATCACCTCCTTAGCCCTGCTGACTTCTATCGATGCAGCACAAAATTTGGTTGGCCGTGTGGGCTGCAGGGCTACACTGCTGGCTCCTGTCCAGCTTTCTACCCGCCAGTACCTCCCAAGTCCTTTTTGGCAGTGCTGCGCTCAGTTGTTTCATGCATGGCCTGTATTGGTAGTGGGATTTGCCTCGGCCCAGTGGCAAGACCTTGTATTTGGATTTGTTGAACGTCATGAGGTTCACTTGGGCCAGGAGCTCAAGCCTGTCTAGGTCCCTCTGGCTGGCATCCTGTCTCTCTGGTTTGTCAGCTGCACCACACAGCCTGGGGTTTAAAGACTGTTTCCAAAAAATCATCTATTTACATTTGCGAGTCCAGTTTCATTTTATGAAACTACATAACCTGAAAATTTTCAAACGAAATGTGTAGAGTAGCAATCAGATATTCATCTTAAGTATCTGATTTTTACTGGACTTTCATAATCCTTGCCTTAGCAGAGAAAAATATGCTTCCCTTCATAGTCAGGCCTTATTTATGTCATTGCGAATTTTTCAATGAACAGTTGTTGTCAAGGGTTAGGTACAAGAGGAAATTTCCTGAAAAGCCTCTCATAAACAGCTTGCAGCCTCATTAAGAATTGCAGTCATTTCCATTGGAGCAAACTGGTGTATTAGTTTCACAAAAACAAGGTCAAATACCCCATTAGTTTTATGTTTTAGTTCCTTTTTCCTCTTTTTTAATGTTTTAAGCTACAAGTGGACTTTCTTAAGTTCTAAGAAAGACAGCATGCTTATTAATTGATTCTTCTTCTTTTGACTAAATAATGTTACACTTCTAGTTAGCATCAATTTAGGAAATGTTGAGCTGGATGCTGTAATTTTAACTGTAACTCATCGCTACATCTCCTTCCGTGTTCCAGGCCAAAACTATTTGATTTGTTTCTTCTTTATCAGTAGCTTGAAAAAGCCATAATCGCTCTCTCTTTCTTTATCTGAACCTCAGTTTTGCAGACATAATACTTCAATTAGCTGTTAAGCATCTATCTGAAAATTAGAGACAGCTTAGGCATGTGATCTGTATCATATATGGATATGTTTGGATACCTACAGGGCTAGGCAGAGAGTATTTCAGAAAGTATTATGATAATTTACACAAAAAAGATGATGTTAATATTAAGATTCATCTAGTGAAGTAATTAAAGATATAAATATGTGGTACGTTGTAGTGAAATTGCTCTCTTTTAATTAGAGATTAGAGTACTTTTGCTTGCTGATGCTTATTTAACATTCGCTATAGTTAAAACATAGTGTAAAATTCCCTCTTAAGCTTAGATCGTCTGTGGTACAATCTAGCCAGATGATGATGTCATGACACTGGTTTACGGATCTCAAGGATTGTGTTCTTCTTTTGCAGCCCTATTCAGTAGTTTTTCAGCCTTCTGGTATCTTAGTTTTATTTGAAAATAGCAGTTTTCCAAACAGGAAGTCATAACCACTAAATACCTTCCAGTCTTTCCTGTCTAAATGATTGTGCTCCTGGTAGATGAGAGTATATTTTTGTTAGGAAAGAACCATTTCAAGTAGGTATTAAACATCCGTCTGCTTATTGACTGAAGGAAGTAATTAGGAGTTATATTGGACAGTAGCAGTTACTGGTATTTTCTAGCTGGGACCAGAGCTTGATACTATTTTCTTGCGTCTGCTTCTCTCTGTGATCTAATTTATCAGCATGCCTTTGTGAGAACACAGAAGAGAGACAGTAGATTTTGGTAAATGGAATGTTTACATCCAAGACAGAGATGGAAGAACTGCTGAGGGAGGCTGGAAAACTGAAACTTCACTAGCTTTGCTGACAAATGCTGATGTGAGGTAGAGATCTGTTACTAGTTAAAAGCCAGTGAAAAGAGATTTTTCTGATTATAAGGATGTTTCTTGTCAGATATCAGGGAACTGATACCAGTTTCAATGTTTTAATGATTATGTTCCCCTTTTTAAGTGCTTTGTTCATATTCTGAAATTACCAGAAATTTTAATCAGTGTGTATGTTTAATTCTTTTCCTGGGTGCTTTCCGAATGGAAATGATGCCAATAATGGCTAAGGTACTGTTGTCCCTTGGAACTATAGCTGTTATCTCATCTGTTCTTCTACAGGGAGGATATGTGTATTGATAGATTGTTTATATTGGCTTATAGTTGAGTTTACTGGATTCAGTCATTTCATAAACGTAAAAAAAATGAAATAAGGAAAGGAAGAAGAAGAAATGGCTGATGCTGTCATGGAAAATTAAAGAAAGTAGAGCTTTACACTTCATTTGCAAATCACGTTACTTCAGTTGGGTAGTGTGTTTATAGCCATTTCTAATGCAGATAATTTATATTCAAATTAATATATTTGAAGTCTTTCACAAGCTAGGCTTCTGTTAGGAAGTTTCTGCAAATAGAGGTGATCAGAGACCGTTAATAAGGAG